GTAGTCGTAGTCGTAGTCGTAGTCGTAGTCGTAGTCGTAGTCGTAGTAGTAGTAGTAGTAGTAGTAGTAGTAGTAGTAGTAGTAGTAGTATACTGGTTGTTGTTGTTGTTGTTGGGGTGTCGCCTATAGTTACAGCAAACGTTATGGTGTAATAATTACATTGTATACCGTATATACTCTAAGCTCTGGTTGTTCTTCCCATCAACTCCACCGACCCCGCACCCTACGAACTTCTCGGGCGCTCACCGTGGCTCACCCTCCCTTGTTTTAACACACGTGGCTCACCACTTCCACTTCCATGGGGCAGCACTTTGGCCCCTCATCCTCGCCTTCGCCCCTTCTTCCGCTGCCGCACGCCCGGCGACCCCGCCGGCGCTGTGCCGTTGGTGCCGCTCGCGCCGACGGCGCCGAGCTCGGAGGCGGCGCTGCTCCGGCGCGAACTGGCGCCGGGCGGCTCCGCCGGAGGGCTCTGCGTGGGGCTCGGGGCGACCGGTGCGGCGCTGGGTGCGGCGCTGGGTGCCGGCGGTTCGGCCGGCGGTTCGGCCGGCGCTGCGCCTGCTGAGGTGTCTAAGGCTAGGCGAGTTTCTGGCATCTCTTCGGCCACATCTGCTTGCCTGAGAGCCCAGGGAGTTGGAATCTGTGAGAAGTCCAGCGTTTTGGTGGGTTGACCAAAAATTACATGAGATAACACACAATAATATGCAGATTTATAATGAGTCATTATATATATACCTAGACCCCGCAAAAGACGTATTTTTTTCTGGTGAGGGCAATTTTCAGGCGAAGCTCAAAAAACCCACACAACAAACAGTTTTGGTGTCGATTTTTGTTACTTCTGCGTTGTTTTTGTCGCTTCTGCGTCATTTTGGCGTCATGTTTTCTATCCCGAATTTGCTGCATGTTTCTGCGTCATGTTTTCTGGTCCAATCAGCGTCGTTGTATGCTCGATTGGTCAGTCAGAAACTTCGCTGTGTAGATTCTCGAGATGCACCCTCACTTAGGGGAGTGATTGTGTGTGGATATCGGATTCTGAGAGGATGATCGACTGGGGAACCTCGCTTGACGTCTTGAAGTCTTGATCAGGTTTCAGTCTTGACACATTGACATGTCCTTATTCAGACTCCAAATGACTGGACTCCAGATGAAGAGCAAACGGGCAAACGGAGCAAACACCCTGCAAGTTGGGAAATGGATTGGGGATTGACCCGCCTTCCATGCATTCTCACCCCCGCAAAATGGCCTGGAAGCCACTTTGCCAAAAGCCATCAGCAACAGCCTGACCGGTTCGATCGGACGGAACCGTCGGCATCGTATGTGACTCCATGATCCGGATGCGATGACGGCATGGGTGTCTCTTTTGGAAGAACAAGTGTCGTATGCGTCGAATGCGTTGGCAAGAAACATTGCCTAGCAATATAAGAGCAATGAGTCTGTATAAGACTAGGGCCCCTCCAACACTCACAGCCAAGAACCAGTGTAAAGGGAACACATGAGCTTGTAAACAGCGACTCTTTTCGATAGAACAGTTGAACAGCTGATGACACTTAACAAAAACACTGAAAGACAGTGGCACAGTCTGGTATACAGTTTGGTACAGTGTGGCACACACCATCATGAACGACATCGGCCGAAGAGGTAGGCTCCCCATCCGCTTCCGCCCGAACCTCGCCAGCCGCAAGGGGGAGCAAACCACTCTGGCCGCTCTGGACATCCTCCGAGTCAAAAGCAACCTGAGCGGAGGAACACCGGAACCTCTGGCGCAGCTGGGTTTTGGGGATGGCATGGTCCAAGATCTTCCGGACACTGGTGATTGAAGGCCATCCCCACAAAGATCAAATCCAGGTCTAATTAGGATAATCATGTTGAAGATTTCGAGCATACTGACGCTTGCGGCTTGGCCAAGCTCTTTTTGGTTGAGTTCCAAATTTGCTTATAATATTCTGGTATAAGTTGTAAAAAAAACTCCTCACTTTTTCCAAGGTTTGCTCGTTGATCTATTGTTTCTGATCTGCACAACACGAGCTGGGCCATGGCAGTTGTCAGAACCATGTTCTTATGGATCAGTTGAACGGAAGGGCTGCTCAAGGATGATAGGAACATGGGAAGCACACTGACTCAAATTATGATATCTATGGAAAGAACGGCTATGGCATATGGGAAGAACGGCTATTTTGATGCAGCTTACAATCAGGGTTCTATTTCTTCCTTAAGTACAATAGAAAGCTCACTTTGAGTAGAGAAAGTTCAGATCCAAATTCCTTTGGCACACTCCATTGTCTTCCATCATTCATCGATTCAAAAATAGGTGCCATAGGAGTGGTATGTGGAGTAGTTCCTGTATCCAAAGCAGCACCCAAATTACCTAAGCCCTCCCCAAAACACTCAAGATGTTTTGATGCTTCGATCCCAAGGTACATGGTACAACTTTTGACCGTCATCTTCCCTCAACTCCTGGTCAACTGGAGAACTCCTGGTTTCCACTGGGTTCTCCCAGCAGCACACGAACCACGGGCTTCAGGGCCAAATCCAATAAAGGCTGCACCACCTGCGCTCACACAGCTCGCGACACACAGCCCCAGCAATCGCAGCAGGTGGGCACCCTGATTTAGGAACACATGAAATGGATCAGTTTTTCAACACACTCAGCACAGGTGCGCCACAGGTGGGAATGGACAACTGTGGAGATGAGGAGAAGTCAGCCGGAACCGTGAGGGGTCAAGAACTCATGAACTGCCAAAAGCCTTCAGAAAGTGACGTGAGGTCGCTTTATAAATGCATATATAATATGTTTTGTGAACAGTGGTTGTCAGGAGACCTTCATGGCTGTGGGTAAATCCCTGAGCCAAAACACAAAATAAACATTAACTCCCCGTTCAACATGTTTTAAACATGATTAGGTGAAGACAGGCATAAGGATGGTGTTTCACGCCGCCGCATCCAATTTAGGCACGGGAAGAAACAAAGCCAGGCGGAGCCAGGAGCTGGGTCTGGCACACGCTTCAAGATCGTTTCACCGGCCACCAAGAGCAATGCATAGACGATGATCGTGAAAAGCCTGGCGCGGGCGGTGAGAGACGACACGATCCGCGAGACGAGACGATCCGCAAGACGACGACCGCTTTGGAGGGGAGGAGATGCTGTGATCCAGGACATCCTGTGGGAAGCTTCAAAGTGCAGCTGAGGACTTGGGTCATGAGGTCGGTCACAAAAGCGATAAGTGATGAGGATGGTGATGAAACAGGTGATTTTCGTGAAAGCAGCTGGGGGCAGCTCCTCGGAGGATATGGCGGGGGTATGGCATGGTAAGACGGTAAAGCAAAACAAATAGCTCTGAAAGTCAATGCCAGAGTCTGTGAGGGGGGGAACCGGCTCAAGAGCCTGCGAGGAAGAGTCTTGGTATGTTTTGCTTGCTCAGGCAGGAGCCTGAAGAGAGAACGATGGGAGGATGTAGGTGCAAGATGATACATGTATGCCATGTTTCTTCTGTTTCAAGCAGATGGGTCACTAAGGAGACCATGGAAGACAAATGAATCTCTCGAAAAGACCCAGGCCCGGGTCATGTCTGCGTGCCATGTCTACACCAAAACAGGTCTCCGAAATGGAGAAAGGAGAATACAGACTTCCAAGTCGCAGGTGACCTGTGAAGTTGGGTTCTTGGAGTGCTGGTTTGAGATCCGGACTTCACAGCTTTGAGATCCCGACGTCCAGTCCACTGGTGACACTACACCGGTGGAGAATCCCCTCTTTCTTCGGTTCGGCCTCAGGAACACGCCCAGAACCGGAAGCTCGGAGGCGTAACGGTAGAGCATGGCCACGGTCCAAAAGGCCAGCTTCCTGCGTCAAGTCTGACCCCAGTCAGAGCTAGGACAGGGAGCCTCAAGGTACCCAGTGTTCACGACACTCGACCGATCATGAGGGTTGAAAAGGGGAACATGTAGGCATACATGGAGTGTAAATGGAGTGTATAGGGTATGGAAAAAGATCCTGCAGAGTGTATGGGGTATGGTTCCTGTTCTTTCATGTTGGTCTGACGGGAATGTATTTTACGTCAAAAGGCTGATGGTGGATCGAAACCACTCTTCAGGTGGGAGAAACTGCAAGCTGGAGTCATGTCTAAACACCTCCGAAAACTACCCATAGTTGTTTTCACACCATCCCAGTCGGGTGAAGTTGCCAAAGGGAGGGCGTGTGCGATGCGTAGCCGGACCCCGCTTGTGCGAACAAGCGCAGTCTCAAGGCACCAGCTTCAGTCGTAGCTTCGTTTCGTTTCGGTGGGACTGGGGTGGGTGGTCTACAGGGTCCGGTCATACCGAACCCGAGGAGGCACGACTGGAGCCCTAGGGGGTAATTAAAAATGGAAGACAGGCATCGGACCTAAGAAGACTTCCTCGGACCTGACTGAGAAGACCTCCACGCAATCTTCGTGCAGTCACAGAAACTGAATCGCAAACTACGTGAATTAAAAGCTAATCCAGCTAGTCTTCCCAAAATCGTTTTGACTTGGTCTAGTAAACTCTATCTGTGTTTGGGATGATGCAGGGAATAGGATACAGATCTAAAGATTCACTGAAGATGAGTTTGTCAGAATGTGTTAGCTGTTGTCCCTTCCCTAAGCACCTGTTGTTTGGTCGACCTCTCCGGGAATTTGGTCGACCTGCCTGGGCAGCATGGTGTCATGGCCCTGTGCCAAGGTCTCTGCAGAGTCCAAAGCAGCGAAAAGGTACAGCAACATCACCAAAACACCTCAGTCACTCAGGCCCGGGAGCACTCGGGAGCTCTTGGACACCTAGGATACTCAAAGGAGTTGTTTTTTGGTTGGAGCAGGGTTGGCTCGTTTGCTGCTTTGCTCAACAAAGAACAACACATTCAGTCATAAGGTAACTTCCTCCTCGAACTCAACGAGTGCACTTTTGATGCAAAACCATGCAAAACCATCCGCCTGGAACAGAACCAAAACACACACGGGAGCTTCAAACATCCAAACCGCTCGGTCAGAGTTCTGACGTCGGACGAGTTCGATCCGGTTGCGGGTACATCTGACATCTCAGCGCCCCACTGTTCGCAAGGTTCACCACCTTGTAGAAGGCTATGACCTGAGCAACGCCACTGAGATTCAGATTAGACTTCACTTCTTGGGCTGATATCAGTTTCTGGCATAGCAGCAATTCATGTCTGCAAAACGAAGACCCAGTATCTACTCCAGACTGTTGGTCTGTTTCTCATGTAGCCCTAGGTTGAAGAATCATACGGCTATTACAATAGCTGGGCTCAGGTGTTGATCCGTATCCAAACCCAATTATTATACATACAACACTCCATGGGACTGCCATATTTGCCGATCAATTGGGGATGGTTTCCGGGGTCCAATTGATCCGCATATATGCCAGTCCCATGCGTCGTGTTTGGGGACTACACCCAAGTTCATTTCACCGAACTTCATGCCAGTCCCATGCGCCAGTCCCATTAATCCTCTTTGGGATAGCTTTAAACCACCCCTGGCCGTTTCTCGGCAGTCCTATGGCACTCCCATGGGTCGTGTCTGGACTGTCTGGGTTATATATTAATTATCTCTTTAATCATATCAATGATCCAGGCTCCGCACCCTGGCCGCCTCCCTGGGCCCCGACCAGTAGACCCAAGAGCACAGCGCCAAGGCCTCCCTGCGTCCGAGAACCGCCGGACCGACCGAGAAGCGCGGCCGCTCGCGAAACGTTGGCTCGGTAGCTCGCTGGCTGGGTCCTTCTCAGCCCTTGGGTTTTTCCCCAAAAATGATGCCAGCAAGAGACCCCAAGAGATCCGTGTGTGAGGTGTAGCAGATTCCGAAGCTTCCGAAGCTGTTGACCACACTCCATTTAGGGGAACTCTCCAAAACAGCTTTCACCCATTTATTCCCAAAAAGCCGGCCGACCTGTGAGTTAGAACGTACTTCTGGTTTCCTCCGCGATGGTCGGGTGCTTGGTCGGGTGATCGGAGGGTCTCCACCTCGCTTCGGGAGTGGGACGCCTCTGAGGCATCTTCCCACAGTACCACCGCGGCGGAGAGTTGGTGGTATGCGGTGTCTCTGGCTGTCTTGGTCGGATTCTCTTCGGCCATCTTCCTTTGCATATAGGACATCAGGTATTCAAACTATTGAAGGTTGTGTCCAAAGGCTGCCTCAACGCCAGAAACACGTGTGGCCGTGTGGCATCTTGACCCAAACCCCATTCTAACTTAGGTGCCGTTGTTTCTTGGTGCAGATTGCGTCGCTGCAGCTCTGGCATTGACCTTTCCCAGCCAACCAAGCAGAGTTCTTCGGTCGACTCCTTGCCGCCCAGGGGGCGAGCGCCAGGAGGCGCCAGCGCTGTTGAACGAGCCAACCACACCTGCGGTGATCGCGGTGGGCGCCAGGCGCCGAGTCGAGTTCTTTGGAGGGAACGAATTGATGTCTTTTGGAGCACCCGGACACCCCTTTCGTCACCCGGTTGGACCAGGTCGTTGACCTTCTGTTCATGGAAGACCCGTGGGTCAACGAAGGTGTCGTTTTTGACCCACGGACCCACTGGATCGCTTGGATCGCTTGGATAGTGAGAGATGATGAAAGTAGTGAACAAATATTGAGTGCATGCTGCATGATGTTCGGTCGTCTCCAATGTTTCCACCAGAAGCGTCTGTTCAACGACATAAAGCAACTGATACGGAACATGTTTAAACCAATATTGCAACATAACAGAAGTAACCATTATACAAGGGTAAGAACATCTAAGCAAAACATCCTCTGTCTGGTGTCCAGCTTCAACCTTTCGCAGCCTTTACCGGACCTCTAGACATCGCAGCAGACCTCTCTCCCTCTCTCCACCCCCCTCCCTCCAAGGCACCATGACCAAAGATTCATGGAAGGAGCATTCAAGTTCCCTGCGCTTCCCGCGCGGTTCCCGCGGTCAGCATCCGGACCAGTGGAACCAGGGACTTTAAAGCGGAACATGCAGGGAAAACCATGGGGACTAGAAACGAATTGGAAGGCAAACATATGCAAACATCTCAGCCATGTGCCTCTTTTTGGGGGATGTTCACAACTAAGCAGTTATATGCAGTTGGACTCCCCTCATTCTCAACACAGACCAGGCCATCTATTAGGCTAAATAAGCAGTTGATGGCACATTAACACATCCAATGACTTATCCAAAGCTATGCGTCGTTGTCACATCAACCATGCTCCAACTTTTCTGCAGCTTATTTTTTGGAGGTGCTACATACTCTTCTATCATTCAAACATATGTATTCAAACAACATAACCTGCAATTCTTCGGTCACATAATGTTCCTGAGGTGTAGCAGGAAAAAGGATCTATGTGACTGCATGCCTTGAGCTGTGGTCAACCAACAAACTCTGCTGCAAGGCCAATATATTGAGGTTGTAACCCAGAATATCCTCAATTTCACATCTCACTAGTGCATATGGATGTCCTTTTGCCAGGAAATTGACCAGTCTTGACTCCATGGGGCTCTTACGTCATGAAAATGACCTTCCTGCAGGGTCAAAAAAACATGTAAAAGCTTGCGGAAGATCCTGAACATATCCAAACGATCCATTCATGGAATAGTTATACAGTTTTACCGTACCTAAATGAGTAGGATCATAAATGGGCCAAATGAGCTAAACATATTCCATACATCGATGGTCTGGGATCAATGACAACAGCTACATGTTGGCCACCGCAAGAACACTATGCGGGTTTGTCTCCTGCCTTGCTTCCATGTTCATGAGTGGCAAATCATTAAACAAAAACACAAATCACTAGCAAATCACCATGTTCCATGAATCGAAAACAGCGTCTGTGCCCATCCAAAAAGTGAAAAACTCTAGAGAGACCCATCCCTCGTGTGTTTTCCAGTCGACACTGGCAGCTACGCCACGCTAGGCTGAAGGCTCAGACCGTCGAGGTATGGACGACGGGACGTAGACGACGGCTTGATCACAAAGGCAGGACGTTTGCGGAACTGAAGCAGGAACACATTGGAACGTGTTGTTCCACCACTGGTTCCACCCAATTCCAAGGCCTGAAAGAACCAGTCAAGCTATTCATGAGCTATTTGGACTCCTCAAAACACAAGCACAACGCTTTACTTTCTTAAGGTTCCAAAAATTTCTTTGTCCCAAAGATAGGTTGGAACCATGTTCACATTCACTGAAACCCATCCGCCCATCCTCCCAGGATGTTGCCCAGGAGGATTCGGTGACGCTTGCTGCCTTGAAGGAGCTGCAGGTATTGCATCATTGGCAAAGCCCCCAGACTGGGCACGGTCTCAGGCCTTAGTGGGAAGAGGTAGGATTTGAGGCAAAGGAACTGCACACCTTTTGATGAAACATGCTCTTAGATAGATTCTCTCAACTTACAATTACAATCTGTTTTTTAAAGCTCATAGATTCCCGGAGATTCTCTTAGGCTGCTCAGGGTCACAAAGCATGCTCATGGGAATTTAATTGGGGTCCTTGATGGATTCTGATGATGTTTCTCTGGCACCCCAAAATACCCACATACCATCCTAGCAGTTTGACCGAGAGCTCTGTGGGCAGGGGCAACAGGTGATGCTCAAAAAAAACACTTGCATCCGAAGGGCGAACGTTCGGCTTCAGGCTTCTGCAACTCAAGATTTAGAATTAGACATTCCAGTGCAGGTTTTATTCGGTGGCCAACAAGACTGATTCCTAAGCTGAACGTGCTAGTAGTCCTACCCCCACATTCTCTGGTTGTTCTGAGAGGTCGATGTCTTCAACAACTTTGCATTCAAAAAAAGTCTTTTGGGAGTAGAAAGCTATTGTGGAAGCTCGTCTCTTGAACTCTAAAGCCAGAACATGTCCTCCTTTCAGGTCACTCACAACGAGAAGCTCTTTGCCAGCTTGGGGATTTCCACCCTGGCCCCTCAGCTGCCGACATGAGCTTTGAAAGCCTCCGCCTAAGGGAGCCAATCAGGTCCGAACCCGAACACATGCGAATCGCTGGAGGCTGCAGTCCTGAGTACCGTCCGATGTTCTTCACTTGGCGGTCCAAGGACCCGACCAGGGGATTCACCCAGAAACCAGGACAGTAACCATTCCAAACACTCCTTGGGACTGCCATATATTGATCAGTTGGGGTGGTTGACTGGGGGTCAATGGGGCGGCATATATGGCAGTCGCATGGAGTGTCTGTGAATTACCCGATCCGCAAAAGCCACAGTTGTTGATCGAAGAAGGCGCCCTTACAAGCCCATGGTGTTGAATTTGTTTCAGCGCTTCAAGTGGGTTTTTGAACGCTTGTCTGTCGGTGGTTTCAACATGTTTCAACTCACTTGAATGAACCATGAATCAGTGGGATCAATCTGATATCTAATGGGTCTACAGTATATAGCATTCCCTGCAACAGTGGATGTTCCGCTTTGGTCCCTAAGCTCGAGTGATGTTTTTTTTGTTTTTCTGAGCGATGGTGACTGGACCGGACCGGACCGGACCCCTCTATCCGCTCCGCTCCCCCCCTCTATGGCTGGTCCCGACCGGGCCAGTGGCCAAACATGGCTGGTCCCGCCGCAGCCTATGGCTATGGCTCTCGCATGGCAGGAGGGACACCATGGGGGGTCCACTCTAGAACTAGGTGAAATCAATACAGCAAGGATTCTGAAACAAGATGAAGACCATATTCAACCTGGGGTCCTTTCTGGTTGCGTCTGTTTGCTTCATTGGTCTTTTGGTTCTTGAGACCTGTCTGAGCTTGGAGATCCGCCGTGGTGTCCACCCTGCGTTGATTCGAAACAGGCTATAGCGTGGCTGCTGATGCACAACCCTGTTGCACCTGCAATCAAAATGATCCAAGGCACAACATGGCGAGCTGCAGCCTGCTGCCTTGCCACAGTTGCAACCAAATCCTGAGCTAACCCTTCAGCAAAACCGGCATTGGGCGGGTTAGGTGTGCTGAAATTCATCTTGGCGAGGAGTCGAAGATTGAGTCTTAGAACTTTACAAACATGAGCCAACACTCTTGGTGATTCCTGGATGCCTGGTCTCTCTTTTTTGGACTGGATAGTCACATTTTCACAAGTAGGTTGCGGTTGCGTTCTCCCAATCAGATCTGCACGTGCTGGATGGTCAAGGATTCTACTCTGCTTCTTTTTGACAAGTAGTGATGTTGGAAACCAAAAAAACAAATGAAGGAACTGAAAACTATCCAGGCACAAACTGTCCAAAACGACAGCGGGCAGCAAAACATGCTCAAATCAAGAAGTGGATGTTATACTGTCACCAAATCTCACAAAGTGTTCTGCTATCTGTTTGGGCCGGGCTGTCTCGGATAAAGAAACACCGGGACTGGAATATGTCCAACTGAGCACCTGGCACGAAGATGAGCAGCCCCTGCCGAAGACGTCTCTTGGCCAGTTCCACCTTCGTCGACGCTCAGTTCACACGGTCGCGTGGGTGAGGAAAGCCACCGAGTCAGCAAGCTTTCTGGGGGGGAGGGAGAGTACCAACACCCGTTTTTAGAGGTCACCAATTGAGACCTTGCTCTTCCCACTCCTCGAGGAGGCCTGGCAGTGAGGGTGCTGGCACAGTGTGAAACCAATGACCTATAGCTCCGTCGTCTTCTCAAAGACAGCCCATGTCAGGATCAATTGTCCGCGTTATCGTGATCCTGGTTACGGTTGGGTGCTTTTTCATTTGGAGATTTTTTGCGTTGCCTTTGGGATTTTTTTTTTGCGGCCGTGGTTTCTCCATAGTTCCTCCAGTGGAAGCGGAAAGCGGGATACCTTTTTTTCTGACCCGCAACCCTTTTTTTCTGACCCACATCCTTTTTTTCTGACCCACAACCCTTCTTTTCTGACCCACAACCCTTCTTTTCTGACCCACAACCAGTCTTTTCTGACCCACAACCCTTCATTTCTGACCCCCAACCCTTCTTTTCTGACCCACAACCCTTCTTTTCTGACCCACAACCCTTCTTTTCTGACCCACAACCCTTTTTTTCTGACCCACAAACCCTTCTCCTTTCTTTCTGACCCAGAACCGCGATCCGCCCGCTTTCTTTTTGACCCCTAGCCGCATAGCCCTTTTTTATAGCGACCCTTCTTCTTTCAATTGGATCCGCAAGCCTTCAGTTTTGATCCATATATCTCGTGAAGCAAGGGCGGAAATAACTACATTAGACAACACCGTCAATAACAACATTGCTCAACACTTATTACAGGCTCAATGATTAAAATTAGCTATTTCCGATGTATCACACGATCACTCAAACCTTCAATGCTAGAGGTGGTGAAATTAAGCTGAGTATTGTAAAATAATCTTCTAAATTGACTGGTGCCTTCATCAGCTTATTTAGAGCACCTAGAAGTGGCGAAAACCTAAACCGTTTCTTGCCAGATATGTATACAAGCGATGGAACTATTTCTACAATCCAATGATATATGGAAGAGTTAATGACACAGGAGCCGCCAACACAGAAGACCAATATGGTAGAGGTTTCCAAAATGCAACACGTAATTTAAGTTGGCAAATTCAATTGAGCAACTCGCAGAAATATCCAGGATTTGAAAGTCAAAGTTTATCAGAAGCGTTTCGTTATTTAAGAAGACATTACATGAACCCAGACCAACATAGTTTTTAAGTTGTTCGTATCAACAATACAGAAGTAATAAATTCGTAATAGGTATGTCATTTGAGAAAATGGCGGACGTCAATTTGACCGGATACAACGTAAAAATGTCGGGAATTACAAATTTCACAATTAAGGGAACAGAAGGAGCACTTGACCCTAATGAGCAAATTACTGAGGTTTTTGGCCACCTGCTTTCATAGACTGTTCTGGAATTGAGAGAAAGCGCAAGTGTTGTATATGATGGAAAAATCTATATAATACTATATACAATGATGAAATACCAAAAAAGAAATGCAAAAACTGGCAACCGTGTTCATCTTCAAAAGCAGTTAATGAACTTCAGCCCCTTTGATTTGAGGGATACTTCATACCTAGACCATTTACATACAGAATCCAGATTAAGGCAGTCAAGGGAAGCAATGCTGTTATTAAGAAAAGACATGATAGAAGCGAACAAGAGGTCTAATTATGGACAGAGTAACTAATGAGTTATCTCCTCCAAACTTACCTTACATGTCAAAGCAACATTTAGAAGACAGAGTTAAACCACTCAAACATCTAGCTTTTTCTTAAACTTCTTTATAAAAGTGGAAACTGCAACACTAGCAATTATAAACCCTTATAGTAAATATGGACTAAAGAGACGACCCACATATCAAGAGATTGCTAATCTGATAAAAGGAAAATGAAACCATAACGGGCGACCTTCCAGACAGAACCGGTACATTCTTCAAGGCATCGCCAGAAGGCAGTTTCTTTGATGGATTAGACCACCTAGAATTATGGAAGGAACAACAGAACAGAATACAAAAAAGGCAGATGAGGGAGTTATCAATAAGACAGACTTTAGGAGGTGGAACATTTAGTGTAGAAATATTAAAACAACAAGCAATGGAAGCATCACTGTCCAGGAGACCATTTTCCATGTCGATGATTATTTCAGGGCGTCGAGGGTCTGTGTGCAAAAATATATTAACCAACTGGACCACAAGGAAAAACAACAACAACAACAACAACAAGGTACCAAAAAAAACTGCACCCGCTACAAGATATCTTGTTGCTTTGTCTCTACAAGGGGCTGGAAACAAATCTGCAACCCCGTCGTTGCTATTTTGACCCCCCCCGAAAACAACCAGCCAACATGTACTTTTACCAGTAGTGGTAGTGCTTGTACTAGTGCTAGTACTAGTGGTACTAGTGGTCGTGGGAGTAGTAGTAGAAGAAGTAGTAGTAGTAGTAGTGGTAGTGGTAGTGATAGTGGTAGTAGCAGTAGCAGTAGCAGTAGTAGCAGTAGCAGCAGCAGCAGTAGTAGTATTAGTAGTGGTAGTCCGGTCAGCAACGCCCCTGTAAAACTTCTACTTAGAACCTCTACCACATCCTAGAGACAAAAGCTGCAGCCCCGTTGTTGTTTTTTTGGACCCCCCCTCAAAAGATGTTGTTGTCTCTCCCCCCCCAGAAACAAAATATGCAGCCCCGTTGTTGTTTTTTGACCCCCCCCCTCCAGAACAACACCCAAAAAAACATCAAAAAACAAAAAACAGACCAACCAAGACTTGAGCACCACAACGACAAGAAGTCCAGCTACTAACATCTCTCCAAACCTTCGACCCTATCCCTAACAGTGTCCCTTTGAAATCCCTGACTTGCAACATGTGACAACTATGTTGGGCAGCTATTTTTGTCTCTACCAACAACAACAACAACAACAACAACAACCCTTGAGGTGAAACAAAACACGCAACAATCACTAGAGCAGAAAACCTAAGGGTAGGCACATGTAGGAAAAGTATAGAACGCCAGAAAAGCAATAATAAAGCAGCACAAACTGAAGGCTCTAAAATGAAAAGCAACTAATAAAGCGACGGTAGCAAGGCCATAGAAAACAAACGCAGTTTAGACAGGAAACAGTACGCCACAAGAGGACAAGAGGAAGAGCAAGACAAGCGCAAAAGAAACAGGAACAGTATTTAAGCACGAGAAATCACTGGGAAGCAATGAACAGCAAACGAATGCGAGGAAAAGCAAGACAAGCGCCAAAAAACATGAAAAAACAAGAAAAGCAGGAGCAACCACGCAGAAGCAAGGCAAGCACAAAAAATAAAGATAAACAGGAGAACTTACAATGACAGGGAAGAAAAACAACAAGAAGCAGGTCCAAACATGTCCAAAAAGATCCCTCAACGCAACACAAAAAATTGCCCCCCAAAAAAAATACGACACAAACACAAAAAACTCCATCCGGGTTGACCACCGAAAATGAACAGACTAGACTACCAGGGAGATCAACCTACCAGGGTGAGTTCCGGGCTCCAGGTTTTGACTCGCAGCCCAATCTCAAATGCATAAAGTGGGTTGTTCCCAGCTGTTTCCCTCGCAAATCGGACGTTCACAGCCCCTCTGCTGACTCTGCCAATGCCCTTCTGCAGGCTAGAAATGTCAGTGCTTCACTTCCATGAACTAGATCTGATTCCGCAAACATTGAGGGCTGGGTGGCTTTCCTGTTGATATTCAGATCGAGAGCATCCAGCTCATCAAGAAATGATTCCGGAAGGCCATCATGAAGACACCAAGCTTTCGCTCCGGATTTCATCTTGTCCTTGGAATACTTGCAAAATCTTCACTAACTGCCAGCCGGGCTTTTTGTCAATCAGCCACTCCAGCTCTGTTCTCTCCAACTTTACCAATGCCGCCTGCAACAGCCCACGCTGCTTCAATGCAGGAAGAAGCCTGTGCAGTAGAGTCATCCGAATCCGAACCTCTGCAAGCCCTGATTGCAAAGGAGTGAAAGATGGACCATCCAAAAGTGTATCGCCGTACCCAACCACATCGAACAATACATGCCGCGCCAAATCTTCTGTCTCATCCTGCCAGCTAGACCGAAACTTGGGAAACTCAAGTTTTGGGTCCCTGAACAGGATCATCTGCAGGATTCGCAGCTGCACAAGAACTTCAGGATGGTCCACTTTGTATGGCGAGTTCACCAGCTGTTCAACTGCCAAACGCACTGCGCTCACTCGTCGCACGAAGTGGCGTTTCCCATTCTCATTGGCTTGCTCCGGCCCATAAGGAGCGATAAAGTTGATGTCAAGCTGCTCTTCTGCAATCAGCCTGAAGACCATATCCTCGTCTTCATGAACAATGGCGCTGAACAACTGAAGGCCCAACTGTGACCGCACATCCAAAAGCAAATCTGAGATGTCAATTCGAGGCAAAGGCCGAGGGATTTCTGGGAAGTACTTTGCATAATGGTATCTCCAACCCCTGGACCGAAGTAAGCTTCCATTGTATCCATCGATGCCATCACCCCATTCGATAAGAATGCTTTCTGGAAAGGCATTCTCCAGGTGCCGTTGAATCTCATAAGAATATCTCGCAAAGTTGTATGGTGCACATCTAGCATGAATGTGCCCTTTTGGAACTTTCTGCCACGGATCCCATGGAAGACACCACATGCCACTTTCTCCATGATGACATTCACCTTCATAGGTGAATCGGGCAAACACATTGTCGTTCATGGACTCTGGGTGGTCTGCATCAGCAAAGAATGTCGTTGTGCCAGCTTCTAGGCCAATGACACTGGCAAACTTCTTCCGAACTCTTCTCAACTCTGACTGCCATTGCGCTGCAGACAAGCCAGCTTTGGGCTTAATCAGGAAGGTCCATTCACCTCCCATGACTGGTTCGGAGCCTCACAAAAATCTCTGAACAGAGCCTCACTATTGGCCAAGAGCAAGGTTTGTGGTCCTTTTCCCCGTGCTGCCCGTGCTGCTTCTGATATTTTGATGCTCTTTCAGACTGGACATTTCGCAGTCAGTCGCCCGTTTCGAGCGCTGCCCATCGAGCCCATATCGGCAGGTCGGAAAGACGTCTTGGGACTCGGAATTCCGTCTGGGATCATGACATTGCCCAAGTATATATAAAGAATCCATTAACAATCAGTATCATGTAAGTGCTTGAACGTTTGAATCATTGGAATCCCAACAAAACAGGACTTCATCACGATACTTCCCCAAACGTTGACAAAGGTCCACTTGAGTGGGAGGTTGAAAGAAATACGCAAACCGGCAAATGTTTTGCGTTGTTTTTGATTGGTTGGCTCTGCTCCAGCTTCTACGTAACGCAGGCAGTCTCCAGGCCGCAAATCTGGAGCCTGAGGCCCTGAGCAAGCTAGCGACAAATCATGAAGCTCCTGTCGTGTGCTCAACGTGATTGAACACGTCCCCTAGTCACCCGAAGTTATGGTCTGCCAGAGGGGCAAAAGCTACCTGTTGTGTGTCTTGGAGGACATCCGGATGAAATCAATTCGGAACCTTCCAGTGGTGTTAGTTCCGTTCCGAAGAACCCGCCTGCGTCTTCCCGAGTGGTTTTTGCAAGCATTCTATATGTAGGACCACTGACATCGACACCCGCTCGCGCTGCAGCTCGGCGCCTCTGGGACATCCAGCAAGTCCAGCAACGAGGGCAAGCCCCCTTCCAGCAGCATCAAGAGGGGCCATGAAGCCCAGTAGGAGAGCCAGAACCTGAGAGCTGTCCAAGTTCAGCTGTATTTAGCTGTTGAATCGTGATCCAGCAGCATGGAGCAGTCCGAGCTCAGGGACAGGAAGAGGTGATGTCAATATAGAAAGACTGGAAGCAAACATACGGGTGGTTTCAGAGAAACATGCATGGTTTGATGATTTGTGAGGATCATATTATATTATGCTTTTAATATCAATCCTTGCATCACCAAAAAAGTTCTATTTAAAGTGTCCATTGTTTTTCCTTGCATGTTTCTCCCTTCGTCATCAATTGTCACGTTGGCGTTGATTCCACGCTATGTCGATTTTTGTTGTTGTCTTTTGGTTTGACAATGTTTGGCAGCTCCGTTTGGGAGGCCTGAGCTATGTCTCAAGGGTTTTAAGGTTATGTGATCTTTGGGCGTTTCCAAGTTGGACAGACTTGTTGAGAGAGCCCAGAAACCACCAGAAAATCCACAACTACAAAAGGAGAGACTGTTCTGCAAGGTGTATGCTACGTGTGGATCGAAGTCCGATTATCTAGGCCTTTTCGATAGGTGGCACACAGGTTGACTGTGCTACAGCTTTAAAAACGTCTACAAACTACTGGTATATACCTCCAACCTGGGTGGCTTGTTTGATTGATATCCCAAACACTCCATTGGTCCATGTAGGGCATATTGAATATATTTAATACCATATATCGACCTACATTATGGTGGTTGAAAAGGGGTCAATGTAGGTATACACATTCCTACATGGAGCATCTGAGTATTGTAATGTATATAATATCATTCCACTCAGCGATTCAAAGCCTCTGGCCGGACCCGAGGCAGTCCCTCCCCTTTAGAACCTGCCTCTGCGTGCTAGCTGAGACCTGCAGATGCAGGTCGGAGAGATCGATCGAGTTACGATGGGGTGCTCCGAACGATGACAAGGTGCGAAGTGGGTGAAGGGTCTGGGATGCTTCACGATCGTGGCGTCTGGAGCTTCTGCAAAAAGACCCACTTCACCGTCCGAAGCTTCAAAACCATCGCAACGATGGTGAAGTGGGTGTTCTATGGTGTTCTTGGGATGATTTGTTTGGGTTGTTAATTTTTGCGGGTTCTATTATATAATTTCTCGTTGAAAACATACCAAAGTAATCCAAAGTATATGCTCTAAGGGAGTTCGGAAGAGAAAACAGGGCTCTTTGGGGCTCTCCTGGCCTCACTATCTGTGCCTGCAGTGTGCTCTTGGAATAGACATAAAGAAAAACCATTTGGGTCAGCCCCAGTGATGTTCCCACTACGAATGTTCAAAGCAAGGACAATTTCTCTGTCTTTGACTCCTTGATGCACCTTTGTCAGCTCTCGCTTGAAGCAACCAACAATCACGTATTCAACTTTCAAGATCTTTCAAGTGGCAATTCAGGACGGCCATATGCAAAGCCGCAAAAAACCGCTGAAGACGATCTCATGGACCCTGAAAGCATCTGAAAACCCACTGGTTGGCAAAGGAGAACCATCTTGCAGGGAGCCATTGTCAGGAGCAACACGAGGTATCACACTCGGACCACTTCGAGGTCTGTAGCCGTTCTGGGCAAACAAAGCTCTTCCGCTTGGGTGCTGTGCTTTTTGAAGCAGTCTTTCAACGTGACTCACGTGATTCTCCTGGCAGTACTGGAGTAGTTCTTCCTCCATAATCTCATCAGGAGTACAAATGGGCTGGGTTACCATCTGGTACACTTGGCAGTGGTCAAGAAGGCGAGTCATCCTCAATTCGCCATGCTCAGCATTTAAAGACTTCGTCTTTGCTGAAACCTGGAGCACCCAACCTGAGCTGAAAAACGTCGCTTTAGGATCTTTAGGTCCTGAACCGTTTTCCCACGTGCTTTCCAATATACAGTATGTATGTGCCGCAACTCATCCTCATCAAGCTCAGCAACTCTCTGCCCAAAGGTTCAAAAACTAGTGATCGAGCCTTGACGAGTGAGCAATTGGTCCAAATATCAAGGCCACAAGCGATAAACATTGCATCTGTACTTCATGCTTGTTGGTGCTAGGACTAGTTGGTGCTAAACACTATCCAGAAAATTACAGTCTCCCAGAAAGTTCCCAAGGAAGGGAGCTTGACATGAGCTTGACCAAGGCATACCAAGCTTGACCTGACCTCTTCTGCGGATCACAAGCCTTCACAAGCCTCAGCTTTTCTTACCTGCATCCAGAATCCAGGAGTTGCACTCTTCCATCCCATCAAACGGATGGATGACGCTGCAAATCAAGGGTCAAACCGGTCCGAAGTGTTGGATGTCATGCGCACACAGTACGAGTATAATCAAGAGTGCACATGATCTGTTGGATGAATAACGGCATCATCCCAACGGTCGTCCGCTGCGAAAAGGCTCTTGTTTTTATTGTTTTCGATGTTTATCTGTTTATCTAGTTGTGTATAACAATCAGAATATCAATCCTCAAAGAACAACTAACAAAAGCACCACCACTTGGTGTGCTCAAACTCAGGGTAATATGTTGCACATCTCTTCCAGTCGAACATGTCAATTTCAACATCATCTCAGTCATCGCGTGTTAAGCAAAACTTAAAGAATCTATTGGATCTGTTCCACACCATGAAACCCCAAAAGAAAACTTACCCCAAAAGCATCCAAGCACCTTGTGATTCATATTATATATATTATATATATAGCCATCTTCTGGAGAATCTGAACCTATACTATCTATTTATCTATCGTCCGAATGTCGCTTCCATGCGCCGCTAGATCGCTTCCATGCGCCGCCTCGATCTCCAGCGGCGCTTCATGACGCTCGGGCCTGGGGAGACCAAGACAGATCTGGATCTGAGGCATAGTGAGGTATCATGATATATCACGATTATGTAGGAGGGGCAGGTTGGCCACCAAGCTGGGAGGGCGTTGTACGTAGTGCATGTCACACATGATTACACTGGGATCTCGGATTCATCCCCTTCAAAAACCAGGAACCTTCATCAAAAAATGCCTGCTGGATGATATTTGACATAATGCTGGAACCTTCATCAAAAGAAGGATGCTGGATGATGTATTATGACTTATGGCTTGCTTCTTTCCCATTGATCAGCAGTGGATTCATCTGATCACATTCTCTTAGTCTGTGGCGAGATTGAAATTCATCACTTCTTCACATTGGTTTGGTATCGAGTCCCCTCTGCATTTAGGTTCCTGACACAGCTGGCGGTACCGGTGGGCTACGCGCCCGTGAGCGGCGACGGGCACTGCCACTGGCGGCCTGGATACCGCAGTGAGCACCCTCTGATGAGTGAGAATTGTCAGCGGGAATGCGGTTTTCAGATTTCTTTTGGTTCCAGGTCTGTCTGCTTCAAAAAAATACCTCAATGTCCTGGGTGAAGGAATTGGACCGCCACATGATTGGTTCAATTGTGACTTGAAGCTTCGTGTTGCGGTTGCTGGTGGAAGGTCACAGCTAGATTCCCCAATACCTCAACTCAAACAAGAGGATTAGCACCTCCACCTATTCTCCTGACAATTACTACGCATGTGCGCAAAGATCAGGAATGCAACCAAGGTGGAATATGTAATATATATATATATATTATTATGTGCCTACATTGACCCCTGAAACCACTCCAATGTTGGCAAATATGCCAGTCCCACTGCCAGTCCCATTTGGTGTCTGGGTAAATCAGAACACATGGTCATGTCATGTCCTCCAAATCAGCCCAAACCACTTACCTTCGCATCACCCCAGGCCCCAGAGGAGCCCCCCCCCACTTCCTTCTCTGCCTGCCGTTCTGGCAGCGCCAAGGGAGGAGCATCGGACGCCTCACAAAGCTCGATGGATCGCCTGACCCAGAGAATCTGGGTTTTCACGGCTGTCCATACACTTGGTGATATGAGGTGGTATGGGAATGTCTTCCTTCAACTTCCTTGAAGTCCTTGAAGGACTTGGGAGCTTTAGCATGGTTTAGCCAGAAACAGTGCATTGCATGAAGCGCATGAAGCACAAGGCTTGGAGGTACTGTCTGTATGGAGTGCCAACTTGGAGGGCCCAAAACTGCAATACTCCACTGTGGGAAAACACATCTCTTCCAATATCTTCCCCAATGGTTTGTGCTTGATTGAAGCGTGCTTGACCAAGGGGGGAGCACATCAGACCTGGTGTTTGGCAACTGATCTAATCGTTCGTTCCCCACAGAGGTTTCACAGCGACAAAAACGCGAACTCTATGAGTTCACTGGCTTGTGCTACGCCGTGAAACTATAGGCAATGAACACTTTGACGTACTTTGACCATGGACTCAATCAACAAGGTGTCAACCCACAAGTGAAAAGTCAGCGAGTCATCCAAAATCAGTATACCACACCACATTCATGAACCATGCCACGTGCTCCAATTGGGTGTCACGATATGCCGACGTGATCCAAGGTGAATGATCTCAGCTCAGGAGCCCTGTGACTCACTCCAAAAAAACACAGGTTGTGATGTATCTAGATGAGCGCCAAAGGCAACATTTATGGAGGTACATAGCAAGCAAACAAATTGCTTTGGGATGCTTTGGGTGCTTCATGCTATCTCAAATCTCCTAGGAGTGCACCTTGTGACAGCTCCTTGGGTCCCAAAAACCTGGCCGCCGGTGTTTGGCCCCCACCTGCAGGGCTAAGAGTTGACTCACCTCCGGCGCTGGGCGCCAGCCGAGCGCCAGCAAACTGCCCAAGGTCGGCACCTCAAGTTGACTTTCACCGCAAATGTCGGGGTTGGGGATGAGAGGAGAAAAGAACTCAAGGAGATGTAGATAATTATATTCTTCGGGTGAAGACCACAGGTGTCCAAAAGTATACAATACATATTATCCACAGGTACATGCGAAACAGGGACTTGATCAAAATAAAAGTCTTCATCTTCCTCATTTAATAGGAAGAATATGGAAGAATCTACTGGCTTTGCCAATACCATGTAGAATCTACTGGCTTTGCCAATACCATGTAGATGCTTCGTTGTTACAAAACTTTTTATTGGCTCCACCACTCTACCACTAAACCTCAGCAGATGTGCGAGGTGTCTGAGTTGCTTCAACCACAACTCTGCCGTTTCTTTTCATGTAAACCTCTACGAGTTACTGAACTCCTCCCTTCCGATCCCCTAATCTCCGCCCAAAAGGCCCTCCTCCCTCGACCTCCTTGAGGTCGTGACGGTGGTCAAGAGGTGTCGTAAGCCAAAGTGTTGTTGCCCAGGCGTGAGACAACCTCGCGTCAGTGGGGCGTCGTGTTGAACGGTGAGCAACGCAAAACCCTTGGTCAATGGTCCGGTTCCAAGTGCTTTTGGCACCGATTCGGTCGCGTTACAAGACATGGTATACATTCACAGAATTCAAGCAGCTCCCAAGCAATCCAACCAAAGGGGTTGAGTGTGTGGCATGGATCTTCCTAGGGGTCTGACTAAGGGGTTTCCTATTCTAATATACCCATATCGACACCAATCTTCGCAAAATGATTGCGGTTCAAGAGCGCTAACGTTCATGAGCAACATGCTGACAAATGATTCAGGAGACAGGAAGTGCTAGCAATTTGTGGCTGTGAGGTCATGATAACTCAAGATGCATGTGTTATTGTTCCTCAGATGCATCTCTCCTTATTTTTGTGATGAATCAGTTCCTTTCCCAAAAGAGTGACTCTTCATATTACCCCTCTTCCTCGTTCTTCCTGTGACCCTCTCTCAGCTTCCCGCCTGAGACATACCACAGCACCGGGCAAGACAGCAAAAAGGAGCCGTGAAACAGGAGCGCCCTGAGCGGAACCGCGCGGTCTGTGTGGAACCCGCATTCGTTCTCGTCTCGCGCGGAGACCGTGCCGGTGCGGAAACGAAGGTGGATCCAATGAAGTCGTCCCTCCTGCAAAGTAACATGGAACCTGAGAATTGATTGGTGGAAAACCATGTTCCAAATACCAATCCGAAGTGGATTTGGGGTTCCATGTGGTCCGAATAGCAGGGGAGGGCCAATCCCAGGGCCCAGTGGATGATGGTTTGGTTGCAGACCTTTCCCAACTGTTGCAGGTTTACTGGGACACACCCTAGATATCCCTAGATTGATGCACCGTCTTGGATTTGAATAGCTCAGCAAATATCGGCAAACAACAACGCCCCTGATATGATCCTGGTTCCAAAAAAGGCACACTATAGTACAACAATCTGATTCCCCTGACAATATCGATTTGGCGCAGCCACCATGATGTATGATATTTACGCTCACGCTCAAAACCACCTCGTGTCACGCGCAAAACAGTCGGGTCTCACGCTCAAAACCACCTCGTTTCTTCGTGACACGAGCCCCGACTGAGGCCCCCGGCCCGAGGGCCTGCTTCATGGCGCTGCGGCGCCGTTGGAAGGCATTCAAAAGCCTGGTTCCGTGACTGGTCGAGGCGTTTCGTAGAGGGGCCTGCTGGACCAGTGCCACCGGGAACGGTGTTCCCAGAAACGGACGGTTGACCATGTCTGGTGCGTTGTAGGTTCATTCGGGTGGGGTAAATGAAGGTTCATGGGTTTCGGCGCAGAAACAGGGAGGTACCTAGCTCAGCAGCATTGCATCCAATCCATGTCCCAAAGATTGTTGGCAGTCCGCTGCCCTTTGTTTGGTCAGGTGCGGTTGCCACCCACAGAGATTCAAATTCATTTATGTATATTGTGGCGAAGAAAGAATTCGGAGTGCGTCCCGCAGCAGATTTGGAACGCACCCCGGACCCCAGCCAATCAGTGTTCCTGCTTTCAAACAACACCAAGGAATAAAGAGAGAGAGAGAGAGAGAGAGCAAACCCAAACATCTACTGGAAACCTATGTCCCCTTGATTGCGCTAGCAAAATTCTGCAGCGAATGACAGTATGCGATCCTGTTCCCTGGATGATGATGATGATGATCATCATCATCATCATCATGATGATGATGAGGAGGAGGATGACGATGATTAGGTTGCATGGCAGACCTTTCTCTCGGATGGTGATTTGCTTGTGAAACCCGACTGCTACAGATTTACTGGGACCCCCAACCCGTTCTCGGAACACGCCCCTTCCAACAGCTCCACGGGTGTGCCCTTCCACAGACATGCCCTCGGAGCTCCGCCCCCTCAGAACAACGGAGCCTCTTCAGCAGGACCCAAAGAAGCCAGAAACTCAAGGGCCCAAGCACCAGTACCTGGACCACACCACAGGCGTTCGAAGAATTGGGGAAGGACTTACTGGTTCGGTTGCCCGGTTTCCCGGTTTGGGTGGGGTGGTTGGCTCCACATGGCTCCAGCATGTGGGTGTGCCAGCTCAATTGGTGAAGACATGGTTTTCGCCACCGCAAGTGAACTCCCCGCGGGATATTCCCTCGCAAACTTGCTTTTGTGGAGTCTCATGGGCGGGTTCGTGGCTTCCAGTACGCTGTGGTGTGGAAACCAGGACTCGGTTGGCATGAACGATGCGGACGGTGACAATCAACCTGGTTTTGAGGTCCTCAAAACTCTGACTTCCTAACTATATGGCATGAGCAAGTGGACCCTTTGTTCTTTAGGGGACCGGTGTGCCTGGAAACCCAAACAAGGTTCCACATGATGTATAGTATATAAAGAAAGCCGTGACCCATAATTAACTATCTCCCACTGTTCTGTTCCCCTCCTCCTAAAGCCCCTCTAACCAGAATTCAAAAGCTCCACTCTTAGATGCTGCTCTCCTACCAGCCTGAGAGCACCCTCATCCGACCATACTCCGTGCTGCCAAAAACTGCGCACCAGCTTCAAGCGAAAACTCAAGGAAAACCAAATGGAACGAGTCTTCCTGGCGCTCTCACGAAGGTATTCACAACAGGTCACAGCTCCCGCGAGCAATGACCGTCATTACTACTAGTAGCCAGAAGCTACTAGTAGCTATTTGCTACTAGCAGTATGCACTTGTTCATAGTGCGATGCACTTGTTACTAGTAGCTAGAATCTTTACCCCATACATACAATCAAGAAACCAAACAGTCTACGAAGGGATGTTCGCCTATCGTCGTTTCCCGGGTCAGGGGTATCAACCCACGCTGATCACCCAAACACAAACTCACCAACGGCGATTCAAGCATCAAGAGACCTAGATGGTGACCAAAAGCTGCCCCATCCTAAAGCTGATACAGTGTGTTCTCTATTGACACTCAAATGCCTTTGCTAGACGAACCGCAACATAAAGGTCGTCCACTTCACCTCAATCCTCGTGCATCTCCACAAATACCCACACTCCCCCGGCCGCTGTGACGCGCTGCACGACCGGCCCCGAAAGGCCGCAAAACCCGCAACGGCCGGAAGGTCCTCCAAATGTCACTGACAAAGGGTAAGAAGACCACGATCCAGGCCTTTGCATCGCCCGGAACTGGTGGCGCCCATTCCGATCCGACCTGTCGGTTCAGACGATAAAGAAGTAGAAAGCAAAACACACGTGGCGATGCCATACGTCGGTTCATGTTGGCTTCGTCGGTTCATGTGTCTGTTATAAGACGTTTATATGTGTATATATATACAAAAAGGTTGACAGGGAAAGAAAAGACGTGAACTTCTCCAGGGAGCCCATTCTAAAGTTTCCGATGATGAACAAACTATAACTAGACTATAACAAACTGATGCAATAGTTATATTAAACTTATACAATCCCATACAATCCCTAGGGCTCCAAGTACCTCCTCAGAAGGTATGACTGGACCCTCCAAATCCACCCCAGTCCCACCTTCTCAGAAGGTACGACTAGAGCCCCAGGGAATATGTTTTGTGTTCACGCGACTTGCTCCACGTGGTTGTCTTGTTCCAAGATCCGTGGTCCAGTGGTCCAGCGGCCGTTGGAAGACCAGTTTTCTGCTTAACTGGTGCATCTCATGCGTCTCACTCTCCAGTTAGTGAGTCACATGCGCCGCGAGTTACGCGGCGCCATGGACCTTGGTGACGAAGGATTTGGTGTCAAATTCAGCACCATTCGGGCTGCTGAATGCACCATGGACACCCATACACCATGGGTGCTGCATGAACCAATGATGGAACATACAATGGGGTCATGTGGCTGTGGGTTGTGGGTCACGCATGCACCCGGACACCGTGTTTGACCACCGAAAATTAACAGATTTCTCTCTATGTCCGGCAGGTCGACCTACCATGGGGACTGGTGGGGAGGTTGAGTTCCTCACAGCCTTCTGTACAGGTTCTGGACTGAAAAAATAGAATCAGTAGCATCCTCAGGGTCTTAGCAAATACGAATCTTTCGGCTAATACTTTAAGGCCCTGGAGGCTCAACACATCAAACGCATTGGAGCTAGGTTTTTTCAATGGCATGGAAGATGATTCAGGTGCTCTTATTTTTTGCTCCAGGGCCAATTCCGAATTCGGGATGCGAATTCCAGGCCTCCACCATCACTACAGATTTTTGCACCACTTCCCTCGTGGCCTGCCATCGACGCTCAAAACTGGATGTTCGACAACATCAATCAAGGTCGACAACATCAGGATGAAAAGGATATAACTTGCATTAAGCGGGTCACACTTAATGCTTTCGAGAATGATGGCGCATACACTTGCTTACCAACTAGTCAGTTTTTTCCAGGGCAGCTTCTGGGTTGTGACGCGTGCTATACGTGTGCGAGGCATGATACATTATTGCACTAATCCCATCCACCTATCAAAAAACACCAGGCCCCCCTATTAAGAAAGCCTCGGTCGCATTTTTTTAAACAGGGGGTCCCTGAAATCGGGGTTGTCCAAAATAGGGTCACCTGGGAAGAGCTTCAAAGCCAAAAAGTCATGCACGAACATTATTTACAAAAACCGTGAAGCTCGTATCAAAAATTCAAGAAACCTCCAGATCGAAGGGTCTTCCTTTTGCCCTACAAAAACCTTTATTAGAATACTGACTTCATATAGACTAACAACTACAGCTTTCGAAAGGATCGAAAGGTGATGTCGCTGTGCCATGCGGCTTTGCGCGACCTCGGTGGCAAGTGCGTTTGCGTGAGTCCGTGCCATTGGGGGAAGGAAAACCTGCTGGTGTAAACGCGGCGGGTCATGGTGGATAGACAGGGCGGACAGAGGTGGGCAGTTACAGTTGTTTTGGGAACTTAATAAAAAGACTACCCCACAAATCGACCATGTTGGTAGTTTAGTAGCGGTTTGAAAGGGCGGTAATTTAAAAAACTACAGTAAATATAAACTGTATTTAGGGTTTCGGACATGGTGTTTTTCTTTAATTGGGGAGGCTTTTTTAAAGGTACTCGGGATTACATTCTTGTAAACCTGCTGCACCAACTTGAAGTAAATTTATCACGCTAAGAAAGGAAAGGAACTATAAGAAATGGAAGAAATATAGGACAGGTATAGACAGGGTTGTTGTGTCTAGGGATTGAAACAACACAAAGAAACCCCAATACAAGACACACAAGAAAACATTGTAGTAATGTATATCATTGTAATCTATCCTTGCTCTTTCCTTTTGTGTCGCTTTTTCGTTTACATCAAGATAGTATTATTGTCGGCCGGTGCATCCTTTTCCGTTTCGTTTTGGCTGCTTAAAAAAGCCTTTTTCACCGGAGGAGAGCGCGCCTGGATGGCTGTGGCCCATCGCTGATGCGTCACTTCAAAGACGCCACGGCCTTTCTGAAGCACCTGCAGGCGTGACGGCGACGGCGGAAGACGGAAGACGGGAGTGGAATGGAGGGGAGACAATTGGGAAGGTCGGTTCCGAGTGCTTCGGTTTGAACATATCACTTGTAAATGGAGGATGAAGTGGTCACTGTGATTCTCTGTGGCTATCCGTGTTGTGCCGAAAATTCTCTGACAGTTCCAAACCGACATGGCTACTCTCAAAAGCTGAAATAGACACAAAGATCACAAATCGACTGAGGCACCAGATTTCTGCCCAAGATCTATCTTCACCCCGATGCCAGTTCCGCAAAAAGCTCGCCCTTCCCAGCCGGCGGCCCAACGTTTTTGGCCCACCTCGAGTCCTAACCACGCACACCAAAGGGCGAGTGAAGCTCCACTGATTCGAGGCCTCGCATCCCAGATGCACGGTGTGGAGTCCGGAGTGGTCGGCTATGTGCCGAGGACTCGAATGCAGATGGAGACTGTTCCACCCTGGAAGGCAATTCAGACTTGAATTAGACAGCACACCCATGGTCCAAGGAGAGTTTTTGTTCTCCCTTCAGAAGTGACGCTCAAACATGCTCTAATATATATATATATGGATATATATTTGTTTGCATCTACCAACATCTTTTCGAGTTCCAAAACAACACCAGTGTCGTGCACCAACACACGAACACGCGATTCACACGGCCAAAAAACGAGCGCCGCAGTGTGCCGCATGCCCCACCGGTGCCTGCAGAGGACCATCCGCAGCACGTAGGCGGGCCCAGAGGCCACGACGAGCCTCAGCTGCGGAACGGCGACTGAGCGGTGGAGCCGTGGGAGCCGTGTTTTGGAGCCGGTGGAGCCGGTGGGCAGGAGCTCATTCACCAAGTAAGTGCTTGATCAAGTAATTTTGTTTCGGATGTAGGAAGTGATGGAACATGATGTAACCATGGAGCTTTTCTTGGACTGTGATGTTGTCGACATGAAGAATTCTTAGGGATGTAAACCATGGATGGTACCATGGATGTCGGACGTGAAGCCCAAAAATGAGTCAGCACTCATAGCTCTGGGAGCCCGAGCCATGCCATTGCCTCTGGCCAGTCCTGCAAGTGCCCCAGCCCTGCGCTGTTTACTTGGGTATATCCCCTCACCAGAAATCAGTGGATGATGATAGTTAGTCAGTTAGTCGAAACCTTTTACCAAAATAGTGAGGATCTTTTACTATAACTGGTACTGGGCATGGGGAAACACCCTATTACTGTTGAACAGGATGTCACTAAGAATGACTGTAGATGGCATCTACGAGTACAGTGATCTTTGTGACATCCTGTTGTTGAAGTGAAGTGGCCTCTGTCGCAGCGGCAAACCTTTCCTTCACTTCACCACCGGAGGTATGACCTTGCGCGAAAACCACGCATTTCAGCATTCTATCGTAGCTAGTGATCTACGGACGTATACTTGGATGTCTGGCACACATCACGTAGCTCGCGATCGCCTCGTGCACCTTGTCCACCCTCCACTCCACCGGTTGAAAGGGGTACCGGACGCATGTCACTTTGCAAAGTACTGATCTTCAAAACAAAGATCGGGGATTGCTTTCTTCCTCAGGCGATTGCTTTGTTTCTCGGACTTGGTGCTGGCAAAGTCTAAAAATGCAATCCCGACTAGCAATCCCCTGAGTTGGGGCAACTGTATTGGCCCGTGTTCTTCTCGACCAGCGCCGAATGCTGTCTTGCTCCCAATCCACGCCTCCTCGATCCATACCTTGGAGCAATGGCGTTCCGAGCCTCGTCCGAATCCTCTATCTCCACAATCCATCGAAACAAAAGACATTGTCCACCCAAATCCTCAATGAGACCCTCCCAGCAAAAGACTGGTCCTTGCACAGTTGCCACTAGAAAGTGCCATGCCCATCATCCACCGCTCCACTACAATGGCCCCACCGCTTCCCTTCCACACCGTCCAAACCCATCCAGGACACTGCCAACTGCAAGCCTTGCGCGCCCGCGCTCCGCAAGAGCTCGCTCCCCTTCTGCCCCAGCTCTGCCAGTGATGAGAGCGCTCGTTGCCATGCCATGCCATGGAGCGAAGGCCGGCGATCGCGGTACTTCAAATGCTGGCGATGGACGGTGAAGGGAGATGGTCGAGAAACTCTGCCAGTCAAGCGATGCTGGGACCACAATTGTCTCCCGAGTTGTTTGCTTTGGGGCGAGCGAAGCTGGTTCATGCGCGTGAGCCCCAAAAATACGTGGAACTGCATGTGAATCAACATAGTCAGTGATTGCTTGGTCAAACTTTGAGGTTCAATTGCACAAGTCCCAGGGTTCAGGCAAGGCCCCCAGGGCGGGTGTTCGCGCGTTGTGATCCATTTGGGCCAGGGGGCTCGGTACCCGAGGCCAGGTGGAGAGATGGATGATCAAAGCAAGCCGGTTGGGACATCCAACATTGGCGGTTCAGATAAGCTGCTGAAGCTCTGTCATAGCAACGAAACCACCTGAACTGTCTGGTATGGACCAAAGAACACCGTTTCTCTCTATGCAGCATATCTGTTTGCTGTACATCAGCTGGAGCCAGCATTCGGATACGTCCCTTTGGAGCATCGCTGGTCCGCGTCAGACGCAGACGTAGACCCCCAGTCAACCCCCCCAATTGATCGGCAACCCCCCCAATTGATCGGCATATATATATAAATATATGTATATTATGGCAGTCCCATGGAGCGTCTGGGATATATTTCAATCCTCCAAAACCATCCCAAACCCATGGAGCTTAGCGGTCCAGACCGCAGTCTTCCGCAGTCGCGCCGAGGCTTCGCTGGATCTTAATTCAAACACAGGACTAGCGCGAGGATCTTTGTTGCGTTCATCCAAAGCAAGGATCTTTAAAGGGCCATCCGTTCGTGCGAATGCTCCAGCTTCGAAGGCTGCAACGCAGCAAGCCATCAAGCCTTAAAGCTTTGGTTGTCCTCTATAAAGGGGGTGTTCTGTTTTTCAAGAGAAGTTTGGTTGGGAACTATGTCAGAACTATGTTGGAAATGTGGGAAATGTTTGGCCTGATTCTTGTGGCGGGCCATATGCAGATATAAATGATATAGACATAGAGAAAAATGACATGGCATGCAGTGATTTGCGTGAATGTCAGGGTTTGAGTTATTAAGAAGGTGGCTGAGCAGGCCTGAGCACGTGCCATTGCAATTCTTTGCTCAAACATTCAGAGTCAGAGTTCACTGACACTGGGTGGATGATTCATGCACACAATGGCTGGCGAACGTGCAGCGAAGAAGAGAAGAGGTGAGAGTTCCTCAGCACAATTGAAACATGTGACATGGTCCAAGTGTGTGGGCACCACTCATTTTTGAATGCACGCTGCATGTCCCAGAGTCGGGGCAAATGTTTGAAGTGTTGACAACTGACAACCTTGACTTTTTCCTTTTGTCAAGTCAGGTCCAGATGATGAGCCACTGGAGCCCTTGACCTTGTTTCCAGCTTCCTGGCTCCCGCGGCAACTTGGCTGCCAAACAGATTTTCAGTCTGAGTGAGTGATGATGTTTGGCAACCTCAAGCTGCAGAAGTCACGAGAGTTTTCCGTTCAAATTCAAATTTGCTTTGTGTTTGTTTGGCCAGTAGTCTTGGAACTTCCCAGGGAACTTTTGTGTGACATTGCCATTGAAAACCAATTTCCACTTTGCAGTTTTTTCTCCACTGACTATGGCAAGGTATCTAGCACTGGCTGGGTATGACCCTTCTATGCTGGATGAAGCACGGCAGACGCCTCTCGGTTCTATGCAGCCCATGCCACCAGGATTCCATAGTCTATAGGCTATAGGGTGATTGCCTGGATACCCTGATGGTTTCCAGGAGTGATGTGGCTACCCCAGGGCTTGAATCAATTTGGGCGGTTTTTGATTACATCCTCCTCTACACTGTTTTCATGTTCGTCCTTCTGCAGCTCACCCCGCACTTAAGGCTCAGAATCCATGGGGCTTGCGAAGGAGCAGGTACAAGTGCTTACATCGCGAGACTCGTTCAGCATGAATGCCAGTGAGTGCTCGTCGTCAGTCCAGTCTGTAGTCCACCCTGATTCATGTGACAATGGCTCTTAATGACTCGTGACTCATGACCCATACTGGCCCATACTGATACTGTCACACTGTCATAGTAGCGACAGTACAGCTAATGTTGTAGCTTGTGGACACCACTTTCTTTGTGGATTGAAATGGTCGGGCTAATGCTCAAACCAAGGGGCAGTCTGAGCAGTGGCTGTAGCTGAAACTACTCTAGCTGAACCAGCTATGCTTGCCCCAAAGCCATCCCCACCGTTTTAAGCAGCCAGCCCCGCCATACTGACCGATCAAGGAATTATGTGCAGCAGATCATGGACATACCTGTGGACATGACCTTCTCCAGCGAATGTGATTCAGCTGCCCGTGAATTTTGCTTACGCCACCAGAATTGCACCTTGCCTTTGCCATTCATATGATTTGCTTCAGAGAGTCAGGCTGCATTCACTTATCAGCGCCAGCGCCCATGGCACTAGTTAGTTTTCTAGTTCCAGTGGCCAACTGTTTGGACACCAAGTCCGGCAGACATGCTGTCCAGTTAAGTTCTTTGAAGTAGCAGTAGCACAGTAGCACTAGCGCAGACTGGTGGGATACATCGGAGTTATGTGAGTGGTTGTGGTTGAAACTGTTTGTATTACATTTATGTCCTCAGCTGCTTCCCCCCCATTCCTGTGAATCAGACTTTCAGTGTCAGTGCACCATATCATTATCAGTCATTGGTGTCCAAATGTATCGCCAGTATCGCTGTCAGTCAGTATTTTCTGTCCATCCCAGGGAATCACTTTTTTCAATGATATTGACGAGGACGAGCTGGGCGGCCATTGTTTTACCTGCGGCACAACCCATGCAGTTCCCAAGAGACGGTCACCTGTTGAGCATGTGCCTAGTTTGAAGCTGTGAGAGACAAGAGGCCCAAGAGACTGACAAACCTGCCCTAGTCAGCCTACTGAGGGTAGCTTTACAAACACTGAAATGAAAGTCACGTGCTTGATGACTTGACATCAGTAAGCAAAAACCAGCAACACCCTTTCAGATGCCAGGTAAAATTGTCATCCGAAATAAGCCAAGGACCTTATGGTGGTTGGTATACCGTGCCCTTTGTTCAGCAACTTGAACATGCATGTGCAGCGGGCTGGCGTGCACTTCAATCCTTTTGAACAGCCTCTTGTCCATGACATGCGGCGTGCATGTTCACAGCACCATCATTAGGGGCACACGGAAGGCAGCAGGTGTTGAGGAGACAGGAGACTGGACAGACTGGATTTAACAGCCATTTAGCCACAATATTGTGAGTCAAATGATATTGAATTTTGAATCATGAATCATATGATTCATGATATGACATGGATAATACGAATGTATATGTGTGGTTACATCAAGTTACTTGTGCCACAACTTATGTCACACGCAACACAGCCCAGGCCAAACGCGAGAGTCATCAAGTCAGCCCTGCGGAAGATCCGGTTCCGCAACCCAAAGGCCTTTTGCATAGAGGAGGCGCGTTCGCAGAATTACGACTATGGGCCATGGGCGGGTCAGGGAGGTTTTGGGGGGAGAGGTTGCAGTCCGAGTCAACTCATTCATTGGTCAACAATTTCCTTTATGATTTGGTGACTCACCTTTGTGAATTTTACACAGGCTACAGCTACTGCAGCACTACGACAATGACGATGACGATGACTATTTACTACTACTACTACTGCTACTTGCTACTTCCTACTACTACTACTACTGCTACTGCTGCTGCTGCTGCTACTACTACTGTGAAGCTACTACTAGTCCCCAGACCTGTCTACAACCATTGTTTGTCAGGAATTTTAATTTTGCAATGTTTCAGGTGGCAACGCTGCTTCAACCTTTTCGTCCACCACTGCAGGGCTCCTACAAAGCCTACAAGGTTGGACCCAACCGGGAGGGTGTTGGAATTTCCGAGTTCACTGAGTTATCCAAGAGCTGGAGACTGTGCGGACCAGCCACAGCAAATGGCTAAGATGACTGTAGTGACCTTTTTGGAAGGCCGAATCCGGCCCAAGTCAGTAGTCTTGTTTAGATTGCCCTGGGATTCCACTGTAGTTTTCTTGGTTCAATCGAGGCTCAAGACCATGACAATGATTCAGAGACAGACAGACTCACAGGGACGGACAGGGTCATAGACTGTAGGCTCATGGAGTACCAAAGACAAAGTCACATAGGCTCCTAGGCTTTGACTGCAGGTAACGGTAGAGGCTGAGGTAAAAGTCAGCTAAATGAGCCGTGTAGGCATTGCAAGGAGGTCCCTTTGACTCATGGCATCTCTGTCAGATTTGTGGGACCGCCTCCATTCCCGGAGGGATCAAGATCCAGACCAGGAAGAATTTGAACATGGCCATGGCTCAGATTCAGAGAGCTCAAGCTCCAAAACCTCCCAAGCCTCTGAACATGGCCAACGCAGTGAGGGCAGCACTAGCAGTGAACCTCCTTCCGACTCAGAATCGCTGAGTGTTCAGGAAAAAAAGAAGACGGCAAACAGCCAAAGCACGGGCAGCAGCCATCACAGCCAAACTTCGAAGAAAGATGGCCAAGCAGTGTGCTGTGCAATGTCCGGATCCATTCTCAGAATACCTTCCAGACTTGCAAAACAAACAGCCCTTCCAGCACTCAATGCACCCTGGCCGCCGGGCACGGTTAGTCTACAGTTGGATTAGAGGCGCCTGCGCTTTCCTCAACAATTTCTTTCTGCAGCAGCAGTGTCATCATGTGATATCCATTTCAGTTGTGGATGATACCAACATGAGACTGGCCGCTCAAGTTACAGGGAAGTGGTATAGCTCTCGGACAGTGTCGGTCCTCAACAACGTGCAAACATGCGTTGCCTGCTTTGACATGGATCCCGATCCTTCACATGCCATTGGAGAGACATGTAGGGGCTACAGGTCCTTTCCACTACACACTCCACTTACATGCCTACCACGAGCGACTGCCCGAAACCTCTTCCAAGAGATCCGAAGCTGGCTTGTTTGTGAGGCCGGTTCCAGATGGCAACAGTTTGGACTCAAGGCTGACTTGTTTGATAAAACTCCCTTTCTTTGCCAAGTCATGTGCTTTGACAGCTTGAGCACAAACGTTCGGCTTTTCAAAATGCTACGGCGTGCTTCCTTTCAGAAGCAGCAGGCTCAACAAGCTAAGGCACGCCCTGATCAAAGCCACTTGTTGGTTGGCACACCTTGCGCAATACATCAGATTGCACTAGCACGGAAGGCTTTGCTGTTTTATCATCCAAACTTTTGGTCAAGCCTGGTCAGATTGAGCCACCTATTCAGCACCCAAAACTTTAGGCTACAGTTTCGTTCAAGTCTGTTTTCATTCCTGGCTGACAACTTTCAGCACATCAGTGTGGATTCCTTGCCACGAGAACATGGGAGCTGGCAGAGGGAAAGGCAACGATTGTGCAAGAGCTTGCTTGGTGAGTTAGAGGGAACGGGGAGATCTTACAGCAGGCTGACTTGGCACAAGGCTTTGGCCAAGTTCGACAACGGGAACCCTCGAGCTTCAACAGTGACTCATTGGTGTCAAGGTCACTGCTGCCGGGGTACAACAGTAGCTGAGAAGTCTGACTACAGTTTCATGATGGTGTGCAAATTGTACTACTATCTATTTGCTTTTGGCTACGCAGTTCCACTAACCTACCGGTGGAAGCACGCACAGCCTGCCCTAGAGTTTTGCTCAGACACTTGTCTGCACCAGTCTGACACTGCTCAGCCCCAAAAGATACAGGGTTTTCAAGGGGATGATTCTCGCATTGACCCTCCAGCTCCACAACTAACCTGCAAACGGGATTCGGGATTGTCTCCCTATCCGTTTTCCTGAGCCTGCCAGTCCAAAATTACAGTCATCCATCCAGCCATCATAGTAATAAGAGTCAGAGTCATAAGTGCATGTTCTATGATGATTCAATGATATGATTGTCTGTTTGATAATTTGGCGATATGGCCCTGGCGATATGTGATTTGTGATATTGCGTGACAACCATTGAGCATTTCAGTGAAGTTTCCCAGTTTCCCATTTCTCCATCCCCAATTTGATTCATGCGCTGAGCCTCGGCGCCAAGGAAGGCTGTGCTCTTCATGGAGTGCTTCCAAGAACACTCGAACGTCTTTCTCAGGGAAATCCCACAAGTTTGAAGGCCAAAGAAGTAGCAAAGGCGTTTGATTCAGTGGGCCTGGACATTGACCTGCATTTCAACTTCATGGACACTAGCCAGAGGGGTGAGGAGGCAGAACAAGTTCCAAGCTCCAATCCCAATCCCACAGAGCCAACGCTTGATGATGAGAGAGAGCTCAGCTACGCTGATATTAATCAGAAAAGGAAGCAGTTGACATTCCAGTCGTTTCAGGACCCTTCCTTCCTTCAGAAGATCACTATTTTGGACAGCCTCATCCAACCAAACGTCGGGGCCATGTACAAGATGTTCCAGCGTACAGGTATCCTGGGAAAGCTTTGCTATTTGCCTGAGGATGCCAGGGACGACAAGCAAGAGCTGATGAACAAGCCCCTTACCTTGAATATTTTTGGGCACGGCGTGTGGCATGGCATGAGTCAAGACTCTAGACTCATTTCATCAATGATTCAATGATCATTGATCATCAATCATGAATCATCAACCATTGATATTGATGTTGGTACCAATGTATGGGGGCACTGCGCGGTTTAGTACAGTAATTACTTTTCACGAGAGGTGGGGCGGTTGAGTTCCCCTTTTTAGTTGGTGTCGGTTGCCACACATTCCTTCCAATTCCTTCCTATCCCTTGGCAATGCTATTTGTATTTGCACCCAGTCACATTTTGGACCGCCCAGCGCCTTGCCAATATATTTTTTGCCAGTCCCAATTCCCAGGTCCACTGCCTTCTTCAAAGATTACATGACTGGCGTATTTGGCAAGCAGTTGGTCAAGGAGTACATTGAGAAACTCAAGTTGATGCCACACGTGGGCATTGAGACTGATTCCTTGTTTTCTGACTATTTCATTTTGTGCCTCCTGCAGATTGGAGAGTGCTGGAGGCGCTTTTGCTACAATTTGAGCAGCTTTCCACATGCTTTGTGGCGAGTACTTGGCCTGAAGGAGCGAGAGCTTTGCATGCAGCTTGCAGAGTTTCAGCGGCAAGTGTCAAAATGCACTGTATGTGCCGATCCAGAGTTCACGGCTGTGCTTTTGAGCCAGCTGCCAAATGTGATCGACTGCGAAAACCCAGAGCATGTGCAACAAGCTGTCAAGTTGCAGCAAGTGCTGGCAGACCTGGCATGCGTCGCTCCATTGAGCACTGACGCTGTGGAGTCGCTGCACGGCTTTACACAAACAAAGCTACACAGATTTCGGGGCAGTCGGCCAACTGATCCCGCTGCAAGGGAAATTAGTGTGTGGGGGAAGATATGTTCTGCGTGGAATGTCATCAAGACATGGATATGGGACCGAACTGGTGATGTTCAGGTCAACAGGCGGCTCGCTAAGTACCACAACAAGTCTGCTTCTGCTGACCCTTCAAAAGAGCGAACCCGGCTCAAGCTCATTTTCTCTCATTTGCAAATGCTCAGCAACGCGGGGCCTGGGGATGATGGCAGGTTCAAACAGAAACGACTGTGCGGACACTTTTCTGAAGATGATTCCTGCTTGCTGTTTGCCACTGTTTGTTGAAATCCATTCTTCTACTGCGGTAGCAGTAACTGTAGCAGGCAACCAGTGGACCAGCCAGCTACGATACCAAGACCAATACTGATGCTATACCAACAGGCGCAATAGCCTCTAGCCATTGCCATAAAGTTTCAACTTGTTTCGGACTCAGACTGTCAGACTACTCATATCATAGACTCATAGGCTAGGCGGCTAGGCTTCGTAGTTTATGACTGTTGACTGTCACAGTCTGACTGACTGACTCTGACTATGACTCGACTAAGACTATGCTTCGATTCAATTCACTCTGAGTCTCTGAGCAATAACCTTAACTACTACTACTGCTACTACTACTACTGCTACTACTACTACTACTACTACTACTACTACTACTACTACTACTACTACTATGACGACTACGACTACGACTACTACTACTAGCTAAGCTAAGACTGTGACTATGACACATGACTATTTGTATATAATATAATATATTTATATATATAGTATAGCTCTGACTCAGATCGGGGGCTTGGAGTGAGACAAGGACCTCAGACTCGGTCATTTTTAGGCTGCTAAAACTCCCAAGGGTCATTTGACTGCTGGGGTTTGACTTTCACTTTGCGACATTGCCATTGCCTAAGGATGGAACATTTTTCAACGTGAATGGTTTCAAGGCAGGCCACCAGTGCCACCTGGAGAGTACGCTGCAGAAGTGAGAAGATGTGGCAAGGAATGGGCCAGAGTTTCGGAAGATGTGAGATCATCATTCCAAGACAAAGCAGTCCTGGAGCAATCACTGCGGGAGGAAGCCATGAAGCAGCCTTTCCCCAGCAAACACGGAAAGCCTGACGATTTGGGTGGGGCAGCTTTTGATGCAGTTTCAGAGCTTTGCCCAAAGGCTGTGAAAAAAATATCCCAGCCTCGCCTTGTTCAGACTTACAACAGATACTCCCACTCAGACATGTGGAGCACTTCTTCTATGGGACTTGCCTCGGCAGATGGTTGCTTGCGACTTGACCTCATTGATACAGAGACTCCTGACAAAGACATCCAGAGTCACATGGCCACTGCTTTTCACAATCCAGCCCCAGCTTGCGAGTCTGACATTGAAGAAGAGCTTCCTGGCTGCCATCACGAGACCTGCTGGGAAGCTTTCGGGCATTGTCAAAGAAAGATCCATGCTGTCTTAGCAAGGAAGTTTGTTCGGAGCCTCAAATACTTTTTGACGAACGGCATCTCACCTGCAATTGCTGGACAGTTCGGAAATGATTTTTAAAATGCTTGCTTACTGCTCGCCTTACTGTAGCCACGTTGCAGGGTATTGACAGGATATGATATGGGCGACCCCTGCTTGTCAACTAGAATTTTGGAGCAGCAACATGGCCTGTTGAAGTCACTGTCCTGGTCAACCCTCCCAGTTTTTGAGACACTCCACTACCAGTCTCCTTACTTCACTGTTCAACTTTTTAAGTCAAAGCCTGTCGCCCATCACTGGCAAGCCACTGCCTTCATTATATATATATATATTGAATATATCATATTATCATATAAATCATACATCACTATTACTAATTACTATATTGTAACTTGTAACTTGTAACTGTGTAACTAGTAAAGAATAATCAATATCAAGTTCAATTAAATCAGCCTGACTGAAACCAATGCTGTCAGCAGGCAGCTGGCATGCGATGAGCCATTCGAATCATTGAATTCATTCCCTATCCTCCGTATGCTGTGCTACTGCGCTGGTATTCCCAAAGGGTTGATTCAATTTACTTTCACAGGAGACTTAGATGGCCATGCCTTGGGCTCTTGCAATATCAGGTCAGAAACAAAATCCAAAACAATGCACCTGACTTGAAACCTTCTGCCAGGTAGCTGTAGCTTAGCCGAAGCAACATGTTCCAGCTTCATTAGCTTCATTCAACAAGTAAACAGTACTGACAGTACTGTACCTTTGAAACAGATTCAGCCCCAGACAGCTCAGTGTACAGTATACAGGATGAGGTGGCGACATTTCAGTTCATAACTTTTGCATTTGACATCGGGGTCAGTGTGATTTCTATGTTTCAATGCCAACGTTGCCATTACTCATATGTTCCATCACAAGGTCCTTTTTTTAAGGTCGAGCACCAATGCAGTTCTAGTTTCCCAGCTCACGCTGCTGCATTTGCACACTGCTTACTTGGCAGGTACTGTGTCTCCTGGAGGCTTGTTGCGATTCACCGGCCCTGCTGCCAAGCAATGGTTCTTTTTCCTTGGGCCATCACTGAAGAAGCCAATCCTTCAGGTTTTGATCCAAGGCTTTGTGGAAGCAGAGAGCAATGAGGGCACTGAAATTCACTTGCTGTCTCCCACCTCTGGTGAGCCGCACATTTGCACCAGCCAGCAATTTTTCCAAAGTATTTTGGAAGCTGCAGGATCAATTCCACCAAATTCCATTCCTTTCCGGGTGTGCAAGTACCTTGTACGGCCATATCTACCAGCAGTGTCAGTACTCCTGCTTGAAGTAGGAGAACAAATCTTCGAAGTCACTGAGCGCATGCCTGTCAGAAAGCGACAGAAAGGGGCCCTCCCTTTCGGACTGAAGATGCGGAAGCGGCGAAAGCAGCTGCCAAAACAAAGGGCCAAGGCTGCAGCCAAGCGCCAGAAGGCGAACGAAATCCGGTGGAGGCAAAGAACATGACACAGAAATGAGTCAGCAAGCTGATGCAAGAGTTGAACCAGCAGCTGAGCCAGAGGGAGAGGGTGCTGATGGCTCGTGCAATTCAAGTGACACTGACTCTGACGTGGCAATTTCGTCTTCTGAAGATTCTGATTCTGATTCTGCTCAGCTTGCAGAGCGCCCCTTCCGAAAAGCCAGTGAAAAGGCAGAGGAGAAAGAGACCAATCTCGTCTTGGAAGCTCATTTTGAGCAGATTGAGATAGAGGCAGAGGCCAGGTCCCTGCGTGCTGAGAAAGTGGATGAGGGAGTGCAGCCCAAAAGCTCCACCCAAGCACCACCTGCTGCAAAGGCAAAGGCAGTGGCCAAAGGCACGACCTTTTGTAACCGGGAGCTGGGAGTCATGGAGGTTAGCGTTCAGGTGGCCAACCGCCTAGCAAAATGCAGGCATTGCGTCACCCCTATCGCCAAGGGCACTACCCGCTTTGGATACGCGTGGTCCCTGAAGAAATTCCACTCTTACCTTCATTGCGCGTGCCTTGTGGAGTACTTGCAGATTGAGAACCTCCCCCCAAAGGAGCTTCCAACAAGCCTTGGACTTCCTTCTCTCATGGCAGGAGCGAGAAGGCGAAAGCAACGGTGCCCTGATGTCAGATGTGAGAGCCGCCATTTCAGATTTAATTAAGGCCCAAAGAGGGTTTCAAGTGTCAGAGGCGCAGGCCTCAAGTGCTTCCAGCTCACGCTGCCCCACATGACATGTTGAATTAGATTTTATTTGATTAGACTGGACCGGACTAGCCTGTTAGATGACGATGACAACTCAATTCGTACTACTAACTTACTAACTTAACTAACTGAACACGTCCACTGTTCTGTTCATTAACGGACTAAGGACTAAGGACTAATCAGGCTAACAAACAGACTAACTAATGAACTGCTTTCAATTGGCAGCAGTTGGCAAGCACAAGGGTGTGGAACTGCCAACTGGCAGGATCCAGGGGTCCAGGACTTGAATTTTCGGTTGTGGGGTCTGGGGCCGACAGTCAAGCGCAAAAAACAAGCGACTTAGCCTAATGGCTGCACTAGCTATAGCACTTGTACAGTTTTTTGTTCTGAATCACCGTCCAGTCTTTTCGATTTATGACTCATAGACTCATATGATGGTATTACGGTATTACAGTATGACTATGGCTATGACTCATGCCATATGCCCGAAACAATCATCAAACCAATCATTCTGCTGCATTCATCACCATTCAGTCATCATTAGTCAGTAGTCATCAGTCATCATTGATCACCAGCCCAGCCTATCTGTTGCCGCCTCAGCGCAGAGCGGCAAGCTTACATCAATCAGTGGCAAGGAGCCCTTTCATACCGATATTGTCATTGTCGTCCTGTCATGTCCTGCCAAGTCGATCCCCAGCCTCACCACATCTCAACCCAGCTTCATCCACGTGACCCTCGCTAACTTATAACCTTCTTCTACAACTTGTACCGGCGCCATGCTACCAGCTACCAGTTTGACCACGTTTGTCAACTGTCAACTGTCCGACTGCTTGTTTCAAGGTTTGTTTACTGTCAATGTCAATGCCTATGGGAAGTTGCTTGCTGTGTGTCACACACATTAACTCACCCACATGTTGAGCTCATCATCATTGCTCACGTGGTGACTCAGGTGCATCAGCTGTTTTGTCAACTGAGTTGATGGATCTCTAACTTAGATTAGATTTTTAGGTCGAAGGTGCAGGGTGGCTTTTGTTTTTGTTGGTTCCAGCGCGGGCAAACAGGGTTTGCTGTGTACTGAGTGCTGAGTGGTCATCATCGCCTGAAGGCTAGCTTAGAGGCATGTTTTACAAGGTGTACAGTGCGACAATGTTCCAGGCCTGTCACTGCTTCTGCTGTTTGATTCTTCAGCTGTGGGGAGGCCCCTATAGATTTCTTCTTGAACGGGCTTGACGCTGAGTCTGGAGAGGTCTATGGGCTCGCAGTGGAGACTCTTGGCAGTTCAGTTCATGTAGAATGGTGCAGACTGCAGACAGAAGCAGTCGGTAGACAGCATCAGCATTAGGCAATGTATCTTCCAAGTTGTTAGTTGTGTCAGTTCAGTTGTTTGTTTTTTGATATCGCCGATCACGGTCTGACATGTCATGTTACATGTTGCGTAATAAGCCCAGCTCTTTCCCAGCCCTAGGCCTGGAAGTCCGAGAGTCCTGAGAAAGACACATCTAACTTGACTGCCTAAACTAAGGTCAGAGGGCTTTACACCGTACCACATCAAAGTGATGACACTGCGGTGGCTTGGTCGCCACATTTTGGGAGGTGAGCTGGGAGTGGGACCTTTAACCTGTCCTTCCGATGTGCGTGAGCAAGTGAGAGCGGACCTCTTTAGTGTAGCCACTAGCGTCAGTGCAGCTTCCACTAGCCTAGCTTGTATGTGCTGGGCCATGCTGCCATACCACGCATGGCCACAGACTGTACATGGACATAGACTGTGACATAGAATGGAAATTGACATTTTCATAATAGACATAGAATTGACTTTTCATACTGATTCAATTCATGCTCGATTGAAGGGCTGGACCAGGGCTCAGGACTGAGTTCGGTTTCTGACATGTGAGTGACGCGGCGTGACTTGACAGGTCTTCCCACTATGGCTCACCCAACTGCCGCAAGCGCTGCTACATTGTGGGTTGCCGAACAGACATCATTGATCATTTGAGCTTCAATGCCATGTGCCATTTTGTGGAGCAAATTGCTCCCCGTGCGCATTGTGACTCTGGACCCTGCAGCTTGACAGATTGCCACTTGTCAAACACGTAGCGGAGGTAGTTGGATGGTTGATTCCAAATTCCAAATGATTCCTGGATGATGTCACCAACTGGTAGGAGATAGGAGGTCGAGATAGGCAATAGGCGCCAACAAACGAGACCCAGACTACCACAAGACAAGGCAAGACTGACCGACTTAAACTTGAACTAACAATAGCAACAGTGACAGCACCAGAGCTTCAACTCATTGATTTCTGGTTACTGTACCTTTTGCTGCTTTTACTTTTACTGTCTTTTACTGTTACTTGCAGTGGAAGTGGGTAGGCGGCAGGCGGTAAGCAAGTGTTAACCTGCTTTGGGCTACAAGGTGAAGAGATCTGCGATGGCCATTGAATGGTAACACTACCGTTGACCTTCCACGTGGATGGGGTGTCCATGGTGCCACTTTTCAATTCAACTGACCATTGATTCACAAGTTTGGGAACCATGGGCCCATGGGTCTTTTTGTGACTGTGACTCTGTGACTGTAACTGAACCATCAAAACTCGGACTTTGGGGATATGGGATGCACAGTCACAGGCTGTAACTATAGGTTAAGTCTATGTTCAATATTAAATATGAAAAATAGTAGGCTGACACTGCACTGACACTGGCTTACAGTTACGAGAGTTCCAAGCAAGCCACCAAAAAGTGATTCACTTAGTCACTTAGCTAATGCCAATTGCAGGACTTAGGGTGGTTTGTTCAGATTAGATGATGGGAAATTGGATTATCAAATTATTGTTATTATCGAATCATTTAGACTGATATAGACTTAGATAATTGAATATGAGCCTCGGTTCGCTT